AATCTTAGAGTTCGAACAAGGTGATTCCATAATAACAAAACTGAGTTACAAAATTTTAATTCATATTCTAAACGAATTAAATTTTTTTTTAACTTCGAAAAGATTGTATGAAAGTGTCTTTGATTTGTAAGATACATTTAGACCGAACAGAGTGCACAAATACACTCTTGTCGGTCAAAACTTCCGCCATTCAAGTTATGAATGCGGAAGATTGTCTCATTCTGGGAGACATGCAGTGACAATGTCTCCCGGAATGAGACATGCAGACCGACAAGAGTGCATAATATACTCTTGTCGGTTCAAACTTTTGCAATCACATTTCTGATTGCAACAAATTGTCTCATTCTGGGAGACATGCAGTGCAATGTTCCAGGAATGAGACATGCAGACCGACAAGAGTGTATTGTGCACTCTTGTCGGTCAAAGTTTTGCAACCACATTCTGATTGCAGAAGATTGTCTCATTCTGGGAGACATGCAGTGACAATGTCTCCCGGAATGGAGACATTGCAGACCGACAAGAGTGCACAATAACACTCTTGTCGGTCAACTTCCGCATTCAAGTTATATGAATGCGGAAGATTGTCTCATTCTGGAGAGACATGCAGTGACAATGTCTCCCGGGAATAGAGACATGCAGACCGACAAGAGTGCACAATACACTCTTGTCAGTCAAAACTTCTAATACAAAATTTGATTCCCTTATTATCTTCTTAACAAAACTTAAGATTTCAATAATACATCATGAAAACATTCATTTAACTACATTCACACTGTTATTCCTTTCTATAAATTAACTCATTTAATAGAATCTTGTTTTTATATCTTATTTTATTTTCTTCATAATACTTCTAATTCCTCTATTTCCTCTTCCAATAAAATTTAATTTTGTAATGCTATCATATACACTTAATGTTTTCAAATTTTCAGATTTTAAATTTAATCTTTATTTTCATCATCATTTATAATCTTGTTTCCTATAAAAGTTTATAATAAATTATCGTCAAGATTCTAATATTTATGATTCTTATACTACTCAATTCAATATAATTATGTTAGTCACTCATATTCAGGAGAATAATTTAAAAATCTATAGCTCATATTTTGATAGTTATATATTTAGATATTTATTATATTGCAATTCCGGTTTCAACACGATCAAATGCCAAACCAAGACAAATATATTATGAATTTTCAAAATATCGATTACATTAGAATCTATATCTAATTTTATCAATAACACAGTAGGGAATGTTCAATACATCTTTGAGCAACGTGAAATAGCACAATTTTATATAGGATTATTTGCTTGAATTATATAAAATATAAGCCAAATCGAATCTGCTGTATAGTACTTTAGTTTATCATTGAATGTTAAATGTGTTCAGATAAATAATTTGAGTCAGATATCGCATTTTCTAATTCAAAATTTATCTCATGAAGTTAGAATTTATTTGATCATACAACATCATATTAGTCAAACTAGAGTTCAATGGCGATTCTAAAATGGAACAAATGCTTGTTTTATCAAAATGTTAAAATATTAATCTAAAAAACTTAATATCTAACCAAACACATTCTAAGTTTTTTCTAGAATTAACATAAGTACATTGTATAAGTATAGATTCTAAAATTTCAGAGAATTTTTATTTTAAGTGTCTACTGTAAGCCAAATAAGGCCTATCTCGTCCCAAAAATATTGCTCAAGATGGCGTTTTTACTAAGGCCCAAACTTAAAAAAACACAAAAAAATTAACTTTACTCTTTTAGAATCCTATCAGATGTGCAACAATTTGATGCAGTATCGCAATTCGAATCCGATTTTTTATGTAGATGTACCTCTAACATTCTTGAAAAAAATGCAAAATGTATATTATATCAATGCTTTTTCATTTCTGTATCATACACGAAACAAAATCATTCATTATACTAAATTTTATCAAAGTTTTGAATAATGAAAAAATATATCTAAATTTTACATTGAGTCGGCTATTGATATGGTCCAATATTAAATCGTTTAAAAATGGGCATTGGCCAGAATAATACCCACTAAAATACACATTTTTTTTAAATTTTATCAATATTTGTTTTTGGTATATCTTTATATAATGATAAAAAATGCTTTATCTTTCATAAGTTTCAACGTACATAATTTATGCTGAACACAAACAAAATAACACGAAAAATTTTTGGCCAACATATCTCT